ACTTTACAACCCCAAAACCTAGTAAAAATACAYTCATCAATACATTTTACTGTTTCTTAACAGTATATGAAGACCRTGTTTAATTTAAATTCAGTCTGTTGTCATACGTATACTGTGGATTTGTTCTTTGTCACTTAYTTTAGTATCTTTTTATTTTATACTGGATTTTAATCCATTGCTGTAGTCTCAGTTTCAAGCTGTCAGTTTCCAAGTTTTGTTTAAAAGACTCTTTCGTTTTGCTATCATTGGCATCAGACTGACAGTAGTTACTTTTGATGCAACCAACAATTGGTAAGCTTGCATCTTTTCTGTTTGTTTTGTTTTTAATAGAGTTGGCAGTGCCACAGTAAAACCACAAGTGACTTTGCATTTATAACCTCTTCAAGTCTAGTTGCTACATCGGGACAGTCCAATGATAACAGGTGTGTTTAAAGAAACAATGAAGAATTTCAGAATTACTTATTCACCTCCCTTAACTTGCTAAGCTCTTGAGCAGTAATGTGTGGCTGATATTTTAAGGCTCAGTGTTCTAAGTTTTGTTACAGCTTGAATSTGCCAGATGATTTCTTTGAATATCATTCYTTCARTCAGTTGTTTCCCAAGTTTAGTTTGTGTGAGGAGTTGTCAATAGTTAACCAGTTTTTTCAAGTTGTGTTCCAAATACAACTGGTTTGACGTGATGCTGTTGCTGGGGGTAGAAGTATGTTAGCAAAGCAGGATAATGCTTTTTCTCTGAAAAGAATAACTTCTGTAATTTCTTGACACAACCTATGATTRATACACATTTTAAAGGTAGAAGGTATAATTCCACTAAGAAGCATAAAAGAGCAAAGGAAAAAATTCAAATTTAGGTTTTTGCATATGCTCTCCAATGACTACAGAGTATCAAGGGCTCCTTGCTCAGTTCTACCTTCTAGACTGACATAAAATGTGGACACTTTTGGAGTCATGTCACCCCATGGATCACTTAGCAATGAGCCATAATGACTTYTGGTTTTTTCTCCCTCAGAAATGTGTGCCTCTGGGACACCTTGGTTTCATCTAGTAACAGTCTTATACATGGTAAGTACTGTGGTGAAAATTAAACCCCTGCTTCTTATTAAGGAAATACAACTTGTGTGTGCACTTGGGGCAAGGGGAAAACCTCACCCTGGGGAACAGGTCTGAGTTTGTGTTGCACACTAGTACATGCACTAGACTGGTTCTGTATATTCTCTAGCATGATGTTAATCTGCTTTGTACAGAGAACTATGAAGAAAGAACACCATAGAATGGTTGGGTTGGAAGAGACCTTAAAAATCATCTCTTGCCACCCCTCCTTGCCATGGGCAGGGACACCTTTCACTAGACCAGATTCTCCAGATCAGCTATCCTTTTTTTGAATCAGGAACTTAACTGAACTTCATATGGTGAATTTGRTATTTTCTCAAATTTTAAATTCAGGTATGACCCTGTATTCTAAAGTGAATTAGACTKCATATCATGCTTTCTTGTGCATTAAGTCTAGGTATATCTTATGAGAGCAAAAAGCTGTCAGCTGATAAGACATTACCCATATGAAGGAATGTATCTGTTAAGTTACAAAATATTGAGATAAATATTTATAGAAGAAATGCATTTTAAGATTGAGAGCTCCTTACAGTTTCAAATCTATTAAATTCTGATTTCCTTCTTCTTCAGCCTTCACTTGTCACGACCACGGTGCCACAGTACTTCAGTATGCACCCAAGCACCAACTGCTGATTTCTGGAGGTAGGAAGGGATACATCTGCATCTTCGACATCAGACAGAGGCAAATCCTTTTCACCTTCCAAGCACAYGAGTCAGCTGTTAAGGCCCTTGCACTGGATCCTTCTGAGGACTATTTTGTTACAGGCTCAGCTGAAGGCAACATGAAGGTAAGGGATGGAGGAGSTGGGCTCTGTAGGAGGGTGTTGAGCTGAGGTAGTGTATTGTCATATGTAAACAACCAGATAAATGTAGTAACGAAACAAAAACAAACCCTAAACCTACACCTGATGTACAGCCTGCTTGCTTTACATTTATAAAGTAAACTGAAATATACTGGTAGACTTCTAAAGCAAGTTGGTTTTGTCCTCCACTAAAGAAGATTAGTTCTTTTTAAGGTTGTGGGACTGAATTTAAGTGGATAAATCAAAGTACATAGCTCTGAAATCTTACCTTTGTTTTTCTGTCTCTTGAAAATGTTCTGGCTTTCCCTTTGGACATTTCTTTTTAACACAGGGGGCGCTCAGCAACTTCAGCATTGTGTAAAGTTTCTGTATCACCAAGTTCTATTTTTTTTTCTCCTGGTGCTGTAGCCCCAGACAGCTACTGAGATGTCAGGATAGCAAGAAACAAACACCAACATGGAAACAAACAAGCAAAACAAAACAAACATAACAAAAAAAAAAGAAGAAAAAAAAAA